TAGATAATTTCAAGATCTATATTTTTTGTCTGGGCTACTTTTTTGATAAAACTTACCGTTTTCGAAAAAAATCTAAAAAACGTCAAATTTCGACCTTTGACCCCGAATAACTTTTTTAGCACACATGGGATCGATGGGGACTTTTGACACTTTATTCCTAATGGTGTACTCAATATCTCCACCAAAATTTAGCTCTGTCGGAATTTTAGTTATTTAAAATGTTTATTTTGACCGGACTACTAACTGGAAGAAATATGTATAACTAATTAATAATTATATTTCCAAAAAATTCTACTGAAATTTCAACAATTGCAAAAAAATTCCACCAAAATTCCAGTAATTCCATTCCATTGTTTTCAGATTAATTTTTGTAATTCTAAAATAATTCCTGTAATTCCAAATTAATTCCGATAGTTCTAAGAAATTCAACGTAATTTTCAGTAATTCCAGAAAATTTCCAGTAATTCACAAATAATCCCAAACGATTTTTTATTAAATTCCAAAAATTTAATCTCATGGCCCCTCGATTTTTTTCTTATATTTTAAGATTGCCTGAAAACATGGATTTGGAAGAGGGCGCTCTCATGGAGCCCCTCTCTGTGGGGGTGCATGCATGCAAGAGAGCGGGGGTGCGTGTGGGTTCCATTGTTTTGGTTCTGGGGGCTGGACCAATTGGGCTTGTTTCAATGCTCACCGCCAAGGCGATGGGGGCTTCCAAAGTCATAATTACAGGTTCCTTTTCAKTTTTTCGAAAACTTAATGTTTGTCTGTAGATATTGTAGCCCACCGCCTGYACAAAGCTAAAGAATTAGGTGCTGAGTTTACTTTACAAGTTACTAAAAACATGACAGAGGAGGAAATTGTGAAAGAGGTTAAGTCTAAATTAGGGGAAGACCCTAACATCACTTTGGAATGTACAGGAGCTGAGCAGTGTGTCCGAGTTGCTTTASAAGTGATTTTTTACCGATTTTTTGCACTTGTAATATAATAATTTTTRAGGTTACGAAATCTGGAGGAACTGTTATTTTAGTAGGTTTAGGGAAATTTGAAATGACTGTGCCTCTAGCCGGCGCCTTGGTCCGGGAAGTGAACATTCGTGGGGTGTTTCGGTACAATAATGAGTAAGTAAATGAGAGTGTGAAAATTTTTTTTCAGTGTTTTTTCAGTTATCCTATAGCAATCGAAATGGTCAAAACAGGCAAAGTCAATGTGAAACCACTCATAACTCATCACTACAAACTCGAAGACACGCTGAAAGCTTTCCACATGGCTAAAACGGGCGAAGGAAATCCGATCAAAGTGCTGATACATGCGAATCCTGAGTGGAAATCATGAATTAAAAAAAAATAATAAACGTAGATTTGTTATACCACATTCCATACTTTGTATTCAATAAATGAATATTAAAAACCCTTCGTCATGTTTTAATTTGATTATAATTGCATCATAGATCCGATTCTGAAAGCAATTTTTTACTTATCTTTGTTATTAATAAAACAGAAGTATTATTTTCAACTAAAATAAAATAAACTAAACTAAAATAAGTACAGGTCGCAGAYACTTCTTCTCGCATGCAAATATACAGGGTGTTCTCTTGATATTGCGAAAACGTCTTGTACATTTAGTATTATTTTGGAAGAAGAGATATGAAAGCAAATGATGCTTTAAATTACACTAGATTTCAAATRGTTACAATTCAACCGAAAGCCCGTTTACAACTGACTGAATTGGCGCCTGTAAACATTGATAATTTTTTGTGTTTTTTGTGCACATTGTTCTCCTTTTTTTGTGCATCATATCAACATCCAATGCAAATTATTTTCGTTGTTTTTTTTTACTTCCACCTAACAAGCACCGACAACCTTGAGGGGGAAAAATGCAAAAAAATGAATACGGAATTTGTTTGGTCTTTGCCTTCTCATAACGAATTATTTTAGTGGTTAGAATATTTGCTCGTAATCCGCGAACACCCTGTACCTATGTTGAAATTCTATCCTGAAAAAGTTGTAGGGTTTGCACAGTAGACACATATTTCATTTTTTAAGTTGCAGAATCACTTTAATTTAAAAATCATTTTCCAGAAACAAGTCTCTAAACGGACATGTTTAATTATTTAGTAGATTTTTACGGCTTTGAAACTTGTAAGATTTTATCGTGATATAAAATGAAAATAAATTTTTGAGATTTTTTTTATTTCTTATTTTCTTTTTCTTATTCTTATAAAATAACTTTTGTGTCTGGTAAATACTAACAACATATTTTCAATTCTATCCTCAGATATTTTTATCCATTTTAATAATTTAATGGTTGGATTTTTATCCAAGTTTGTAAACTTTTGTTCTTGAATGCGTTTTTTCTTTTATTTGTCAATTTATTTGTTTTTGTAAACTACAAAATTGTATAACTGGTTTAATTTGAAATATTTTATTCTAATAATAAAAAAGATATTGATGATCGAAGAAATCTTAGTTGATTCATCCTGTCTCAGCTCAGAAGAATAAAATTTGTGATACAAATGAATAAATACAAGCAAAATACTTGGATAATTATTTATATTTCAAAATTTACAAAAAAATATAGATGGAACATGAACTGCACTGCATAATAGTTATTAAAAAGCAAATTTTATTATATAATTGTTTTTTTCGAGTTTTCTTATTTCACTTGTTTTATTTTTTGTAAATTCAAAATTGTGTAGCCACTTTAGTATGAAATATTTTATTCCGGTAATAAAACAGATGTTGATCGAGGAAATCTTATCTGGAGCTTCCTGTACACCTATTTCCTGAGCTCAGAGAGTGTGTTAGATAGCGTTTTATCCACGCAAGAATGTTTAACCGCGAGAACGTTAGTTCGACTAGTGGATAAAATGGTACTTTAAACGCATCAAAAGTGTGGAATAAAGTCTCTTTATAGAGTGATTGTGGATAAAATACTTTTTCCAATTTGGTTGTGAAAACCAACCATTGTAAAATGTCATTTTAGTTGTCAAATGTGCTTAATTTTATCACTAGTTATAAAATATGACATTATTTTATCACTGGTGTTAAAAAGTGTGACATAAAGATAAGTAAYATAGCAAATAACACTATTTTCATAGCAACGCCAAGACACTAGTCTGATTTTGGGAAATTATTGAAATCACAGATTCAAAATTCGAATTTGACCATATTAGAAAAAATCTTGTATGAAACACAATGCACGTCTAGTGAAGATGCAACTTGTTGCATAAATAGCTATATAATTATTAATTTTTTAAAACCTACAACAAAAGTAGAGCAAAAATGTGTGGGGCTAATTTTTAGTTTTTAAATTTCACTCCTCTTAATTACAAATTAAATTGTGTAAAAGAACTTCTAGAAATTGCAATTAAAATGTAAATTTTGTTATGAGATCGAAATAACTGAGTCAAATTGTCGCCAAGGAGTAATAAATAATAATCCCATTATCAAGATAGGGAAGCGGCACGTCGACCTCCACATGCTTTCAACTATTTTTACCTCCCTCCAATTTCAATAACTTCACACTCCRGATATTACGTCAAGTAATTCGTTATAAAAGCCACGGTATCAACAATTCAACATTAAACCATTTTAATAATTGTTCTCGACAAAGTGACATCAATTTTTATTACCCAAATGGCCGCTAAGGACAATTTAACAGCCGTTCTTTACGGCATCAACGACATGCGATTGGTGAGTTCAAAAAACCCAAATTTTCACCCTCAAAATCCCCTTGTAGGAGCAACGTCCCATCCCAGTACCCAAAGACAATCGTAAGTTTAATAAAAAAAAAAAAAATTCATCAACACAATAAATCAATTGTAGAAGTCCTTCTTAAAATGGAATCGGTGGGGATTTGCGGTTCGGACATTCACTACTTGGTCAACGGCAGAATCGGTCCTTTCGTCGTCGAAAAACCCATGATAATCGGTAGTTTTCTTGACCTTGTTATCACTAACATGATAACACACTTCTTTAGGTCATGAGGCGTCAGGAACGGTCGTTTTATGCGGGAAAAATGTCACCTCGTTAAAACCCGGCGATCGCGTTGCCATTGAACCCGGAGTTGGGTGCAGAATTTGCTCGTTTTGCAAATCCGGGGATTACCATCTTTGTCCCGAAATGGTGTTTTGTGCCACCCCACCCGTCGATGGAAATCTCTCCAGATATTACGTCCACGACGCTGATTTCTGCTTCAAGTATGCAAAATTTCAAGGCTGTTTTAACAAAAAAAAATATTTGCTTTGTTATTAACACGAGTCTGGTAATGTGAGAGTTTTCTTGTTTTTCCAGACTGCCGGACAACGTGAGCCTCGACGAGGGGGCCCTCATGGAGCCTTTATCCGTAGGGGTTCATGCTTGCAAACGGGCGAATGTGCGATTTGGGGACGTTGTTTTGATTTTGGGGGCAGGGCCCATTGGGCTTGTCACACTGTTGGCGGCTAAGGCCATGGGGGCGACTAAGGCTTTGATAACTGATGTCGTTGATATCCGATTGGCGAAAGCCAAAGAACTTGGGGCTGACTATACTTTAAAAATTGAGAAGAATATGACAGAGGAAGACATTGTTAAAAAAATCAAGGCTTTGTTGGGGGAAGAACCTAATATTAGTCTTGATTGTACTGGTGCTGAACAATGTGTTAGAGTTGCTGTTCAGGTTTGTTTTATTTTCTTTTTGAAATTTGTTTTTATTTTGGAAATTAGGTGACGAAAAGTGGAGGTGTAGTCACTTTAATTGGTCTAGGAGCTTTTGAAATGAAATTGCCTTTAACGGGCGCCCTTATTCGCGAAGTTGACATTCGAGGGGTTTTCCGCTACAATAATGAGTAAGTTTATTGGTTTTTGTTATCAGTTTAATCTACAAAAAAATAAATTGCTTGTTGTCACATGTAATCGATGTCAAGTGCATTGTACATATAATCTATTTTTATTTTAGTTATCCAACTGCTATTGAAATGGTGCGAAGTGGGAAAATAAACGTTAAAGCTTTAATTACACATCACTACAAGATTGAAGATACATTGAAAGCGTTCCATACTTCTAAAACAGGGGAGGGAAATCCGATTAAAGTTATGATTCATGCTAATCCAGAATGGAAAAAGTAAATTTGTCTTATGTAAAATAAATGTCATGTATGTCAGCACTTTGAATTATAATATTATTAATAAAGCCCTCACAAAATCAGTTATTTTATTGAACTTTAGCGAGAGATTTTGGTCGATTTTCGATGTGTTTGAAGCAATAAAAAAATTGGACTTAAAACCTAAAAACAGGATGATTTTAAAAATTATTAATATATTTTAGGAGGTAGTATGGACCAAAACAAACAAAAAAATTTTAATAAAAAAAGTTCAAAAAATTTGTAATTTTTTAAACTTGACCCCATAACGTTTTATCCCCTTTTCTAATTTAGGATCTCTAGAAATGTAAAAAACGTTATATGGATCAATTTTCAAGTTGAAATTTTTTTTGATTTTTGTCAAGATTTTGAACGATTGCCTTATTCAAAAAATTCGTTTTTTTTTAAACTTGACCCAATAACATTTTATGCACTTTTTTAAATCTTTAGCATCTCTAGAAATGTAAAAAAAWTTAAAGTAGAAAACTTTTTGGATTTTTGTCGAGATTTTGGTCGATTTTTGGCACCCGGAGAGGTCTATTGCCAATAACTCCGGATTTATTGGTGATAACCTCTTACGTTTGGTACCGTTGGAAAGAAAATTTAATTTTCTATCATATACCAGAAAAATGAGTGTTCTATGATAAATAGTTATCGAGAAAATTTCTGATGAAGTCAAAAATATAAATTCGACTATAACTTAACAAAACTGTTACGAATTTTGCAGTTTTCTTGACTCCAACTGTACTTGTATTGTTTGTGTTGGTAGTATTGCAGAAAGAAAACTAGACCCGTTTTACAAGAGCCAAATTTTAAAAAGTCTCCTAAATTGTTAAAAAATCAGAAAATACACTTTTTGTCTTATACACTGCGTCAACAAAATAAAGAAAAAAAGAAAGATTTTTAAATATTGACTTGAGTTTAGTCATAGATAAAATATTATGTATTTCCTCTATAGTTTAGTGCCATTCGATAGGTTTTTTTATTCTGATTACAATGGTGTTGAGCTTAGTTTGGCCGTAATCGTCGTTCAAAAAGTAAAAATCAAAATTTCTAACTTTTTTAACTTTATATGCGTTTTTCTCGGAAACTATAGGTGTTAAAGCAAAAAACTTTAAATTATTTATTTAATGGCGCAAACTCAAAGTCGCTGCGGTTATAGTTCCGGGTACAGAGCTTTTTAGTTTTTTTTTTAATTACCTATATCTCAAAAACTATGCATCGTAGAGTATTCTAACTAGTTGAATCGTGTTCAGCGAGTAATTTTACGTCTAGAAAACCATAATTCAAGCGTTTTTACGACTTAAGGTAATTTGACTATTTTTATGATTTTACTACCGCTCACCTTCAAAAACTCAAAAAATTTATTTTTTTTTAAACTTGACGCTATAGCATTTGATTGATTGATAACTCCGGACTTATTGGCGATAACCTCTTATGTTTGGTACCGTTAGAAAGAAAACTTAATTTTCTATCATATACAAAATAGATCAGTGTTCTACAATAAATAGTTATTGGGAAAATTTCTGATAAAGTCAAAAATATCAAAAATATAAATACGACTATAACTTCAAAACTATCAGGAATTTTCCAGTTTTCTTGACACCAATCGATTCCCCGGAACATTTTACATAAGTCTAGGTCAAAATATTATAACATTGAGATAGTTTTTTCAGAATTTACAAAATAAAAAAAGGAAAAATTTGTTAACATCGTAGAGTATTTTAACTTGTTGCATCATGTTTTACGTCTAGAAAACCATATTTCAAGCGTTTTTACGACTTAAGGTAAATTGACTATTTTTACGATTTTACTATCGCTCACCTTCAAAAACTCAAAAAATTCGAAATTTTAGAATTGCTGAAATTTTTGACAGTTGTCACTATTGTAGATAACCTCACTTTTTTATCTGTCATAAAGTGGTCAAAATCGCGATTTTATCATTGAAATATCTCAGGATTTACACTTTTCATGCTGACACTTRACACCTGAGCAATTTTTCTTCGTAACTGTATCATGAGCAAAGTCATTCTCGGTGGTGGCTTGAGTGGCCTTTCTGCTGCCTACTACTTGAAGAAATTTTCACCAAACCAAGCCCTCACCTTAATTGAATCATCGCCACGCACCGGAGGCTGGATCAAGTCAAGTGTGCAGGAAAATGGGGCTATTCTCGAGCAAGGCCCCCGCACTATACGCCCTAGGGGGGACGCAGGCGCCAACACTTTACAATTGATTGAAGAACTGAATATAAGTGACCAAATCGTGCCTATACCATCCGGACATCCTGCTGCTAAAAATCGTCTCATTTATGCCAACGGTTCTTTGCATTTGTTACCATCTTCCTTGACTGGATTGTTCASAAAACAAGAACCGTTTTCAAGGCCTTTAATACTTCATTTGTTGAATGACTTAAAAGCAAGTAAGAAGGAAGTWAAGGATGAATCAATTTATGATTTTATTGGCCGCAGATTTGGTAGTGAAGTAGCTGATTATTTAATCAGTCCGTTGATTTGTGGTATTTGTGCTGGCAACGCCAAGGAAATTAGTGTAAAATTCTTGATGAAACAACTATTTGAATACGAACAAAAACATGGAAGTGTCTCAAAGGGACTTTTAACAAATTTGTTCGCAAAATCAAACCCGCCAAAGAATTTGTGTGAAACCGCCCTTAAAGCTAGGCGTGAAAAATGGAGTATTTATTCTTTTAAAAATGGCTGTGAGACGTTACCAAAAGCCTTAAGAWACAACATTTCAAATAACGTAACCATTAAACTAAATACTAAATGTACAGAAATCAAAACGGATCAAGACCGAATAACACTAAGTTTAAATAATGAACAAATTACATTTGACCATTTAATAAGTGCAATCCCTGCAAACACATTGGGGCTTCTTTTACAAAAACAACATCCAGAACTTGCCCATTCTTTACAGAAACTCACAAAAAATGTTTCAGTTGTTGTTGTTAATTTACTTTTCAAGGAGAATTTTATTAAAAACCCAGCTTTTGGGTTGTTAGTTGTCCCGAAAGAAAAACTCCCAATTTTGGGTGTTATTTACGACAGTTGTTGTTTCCCCGTGCAAGACTGTGGAACAGTTTTAACTGTAATGATGGGTGGTTACTGGTTTGAGGAACACTTTGGGAAAAATCCTCAAGAAAAATTGTTGTTGGATGTTGCTGTTAAACAAGTGAAACACATTTTAAACACCGATCATGACCCTTTTGATTACAACGTGAATATTTTAAACCAGTGTTTGCCACAATATGTTGTGGGTCATGACGAAATCTTACACCAGATAAATAGTTACATAAAGACGTATAAATTACCCATTTCTTTGTGTGGGGCCTCTTATTACGGTGTAGGAATCAATGATGTTGTTTTGTCTGCTAAAAATGCCGTCAAGGAGTTGTAATTTATTTTATACATAAAAAATAAGATTTACAAAATTTGTTTCTGACTTGAAGATTAAATAATTTCAATTAATAAGAGCGTCTTTCCCTGAAAGTGAACAAATAAGTCAGTTTCTTATTAATTAAAATTAAAAGCATGCATAAATCAAACTAAATTCACAACCTTGTAAATAAATAATAAAGTCCATATGCCCACTCCTGCTATCAACAAAATTCACTAATAAAACATAAAATAAATCATGAGTACAATACTAATTATGCCGTACCCAAACACATGCAATAAGAGCTTTTGGAATTCCTACTTCATATTACCTGCGAATTTAATTTCATCAAAAGCTTTACGTGCACGTTTCAGTTCCTCATTCATTGTGAGCAAATCTTTAACTCTTGCATATTTTCGGGGGTCTTTTCTTACAAGAAAAACTATATCTTCCACCTGAACTCGCCCCGTTCTGCCGATCTCCATACATCTAGTAAAATAATGTTTAATTAATTCATGAGTGAAATTCACTCACTTGTGGGTCATTTCTGTAATAAATTCAATCACAAGGTCTTCAATAATGTCAACGCTTTCAGTGTAAGGATTTTGGTCGTCGCCAAAACCGTACATCATACAACGCAATTCTTTACTAAAAAGACGTTTTCGGCCTGCGCTGCATAAAACTAGGTTTGTGTCGGCCCCCTCGTCTTCTTCAAACTGAAATAAATATTGAGGCACACTCATGGCATCGCGGGAACAAACCTGTTCGAAATTTTCGTCTGTTGCAGCCATTATTACCAAATCACTTATTTTTTATAATTTAAAAAACGCAACAATTACTTGTTTTTCTATTGGGGTTAAGTTTTTTGACGTTCAACTGGTGAAATTTCTGTTTTTGCGGGTGGCTCACTGACACAATAGTCCATTGAACAAAAGAGACAGCAGTTGAGACCTATACTTAGAAGTAGAAGAGGGAGAGAGATAAGTAGATACTGTGGATAGATAGCAGTGTTGCTAGATTTGATCAAATGTCACCAGATCTGGTGATTTTCGCGTTAAAGCCTGATTATTTGGTAAAAACTTTTTTAAAAATGCATTTTTTATATCTGTGGTGATTTTTTGGAAATAAAAAAACTGTTTTTCCAGCATTGTCCACGTTTTCAAGCACAACCTTGATTATTTCGTCACATTTTTTCAAAAAAGTCGAAAAACCACCAGATTGGTTAAAAATAGTTCTGTTTGTTTTTTACAAGATTTTACTAAGCAGGATAAAAAACGGTAATGTATTTTTGTCTTTTTCGACTACTTTTTCTGCTAGAAACACAATTATTTCGTAAAATTTCGTTAATAACACTCCAAAATTCAACAAATTCGACCAAAAACGGCGTTATTTTTGACCTTCTAAAGTGTTAAAGCAGGTTTTTGAGATACAACCAAAGAAAATTTTAAAAATTTTGTTTAAACAGACAAAAAAATAACAAAATAAATCAAAATCAATATTATTTAACAAAAACTTCGTTTTTGAACCAGATGCTCATTTATTTGGCAAAATCTTGTCTAAACACGCCCAAAAATTACAAAAACAATTGATATTAATGTTATTTTGTTTGTTTCACTCGATTTAACTGGTTTTTGAGCAAAATTAAGATAAAAATAAACTGAGAAACCACAAAATTTGGTCGAAAATGCTTCTAAGGGCGTTTTTTTTGTACCAAACTCTCAAGGTTTTAAAAAATCAAGAAATTAAGACTATAATTGCATTTTTCGAACATTTTATCATGTTTTTCAGCTAAAAACGCAATTATTTCGTAAAATTGTGTTGAAAATAAGCCGAAAAATCACAGAATTGACCCGAAAAGCATGTCATTTTTTTGTTTAAGTGAATTTTTAAGCTGAAAACTGTTTTTTTCGTGAGATATAGCCATACAAATGGTAATCTGGTGAAAATTTGGCGAATTTTTCAACTCGGATCTGGTGAATTTTATGTTTTTGATCTGGCGACATTGTGTGGATCTGTCATTCTCATTATTGACAAATGTCAAAAAAAGTTTTGTTTGGTTATTCGTGGTCTCACTTATTTGGAAAATTCTCGAAAATCACCGAAACTAAATAAAAACTATTTACTGTAAAAAGTAGTTGTGTTGAGTGTTTCGTGTTTCGTTACAAAAAATTCGCATAATTAATAAAAAGTGTGAAGTAGGTAAACATAACCAAAAATGCCCAAATATTATTGTGACTACTGTGATACATATTTGACCCATGACTCGCCCAGTGTCCGAAAAACGCACTGCACGGGTCGAAAACACAAAGACAATGTGAAATTTTATTATCAGAAATGGATGGAAGAGCAAGCTCAACATTTAATCGACGCTACGACAGCCGCCTTCAAGGCTGGCAAAATAGCCAATAACCCATTTGCCCAGGCTGGAAAAGGCGTCGCTATACCTCCCCCTGCGCAACTAACAGCAATGGGTCAAAGGCCTGGGGCACCTGGAGCTCCTATGATGCCACCAAGTACGTACTATTTGTAATTTTGTACGAATTTAACTTTTGTGTTACAGCGATGGGCCCTGGAGGGCCTATGCCTCCCATGATGATGGGACCACATGGTCCCATGCCGCCAATGATGGGCATGCGACCGCCCATGATGGGGATGATGCCCATGGGACCTATGGGGCCCATGGGCGTGCGGCCGCCAGTGGTGAATCCACAAATGAAGAGCTAAGTAGTTTTTATGTATGTTGTAATTTAGGTCATTTGAATAATAATAAAAACTATTTATATAATTATTGTTGTTTTTTTACTCTTTTTTCTTCTTCGAAAAGAAAAGAAAAAAAAAACAAAGCTTCATTGAAAGCCGCACAAATTACGTTTTATCTATAAGAAAAATTTGTACAATACGAAATTAAATCTGATGTAAATAAAAATAATATAAAAGATAGATAGCAGTGTTGCTGGATTTGATCAAATTTCACCAGATCTGGTGATTTTTGCGTTACCAGACTGGTGATTTGGTAAAAACTTTTTTAAAAATGCTTTTATATCTGAGATTTTTTGAAAATAAAAAAAACTGTTTTTCGAGCACTGTCTACGTTTTCAACAACAAACTATTATTTCGTCAAGATTTTTTAAAAAAGTCGAAAAACTACCAAATAGGTTAAAAATAGTTCTGTTTGTCTTTTTACAAGATTTTACTAAGCAAGATCAAAAATGACAATTTATTTTTGTCTTTTTCAAATATTTTTTCAGTTAGAAACACAATTATTTCGCAAAATTTCGTTAAAAACAATCCAAAAATTCAACAAATTCGACAAAACCGGCGTTATTTTTGCGCTTTTCAAATGTTTAAACACGTTTTTGAGAAAAAACCAAAGCAAATTTTAAAAATGTTGTTGAAACAGGCAAAAAAATTACAAAATTAAATCAAAATCAATATTATCTTTAACTTGTTTCGCTCGACTTACTTCGTTTTTGAACCATCAGAGGCTCATTTATTTTGCAAAATCTTGTCAAAACACGCCCAAAATCACAAAAATAATTGATGGGCATGCGACCGCCCATGATGGGGATGATGTCCATGGGCGTGAGGCCGCCAGTGGTCAATCCAATGAAGAACTAAGTAGGTTTTATGTATGTTGTAATTTAGGTCATTTGAATAATAATAAAAACTATTTATATTAATTTCGTTGTTTTTTTTACCCTTTTTTCTTCTCCGAAAAAATAGAAGAGCTACGAAAAGAAAACTTTTATTTACAAATCCAATATATTAAAATTTATAATAATTTATGTCAATGAATTAACAAAGCTTCATTGAAAGCCGCACAAATTACGTTTTATCTACAAGAAAAATTTGTACAGTACGAAATTAAATCTGATGTAAATAAAAATAATATAAAAGTGTGTGCCTAATGGCGTGTCGACTAGACAGTGATAAATAAATTAAGACAAGAAAATGTTGAGGAAATACAAAAAAATAAATAATCAAATATTAAAATGCCGTTTCTAATGTGGGCGGCATTGAGCATTTATCTTTACTTTGCTGATCCTCATATTGACCACTTCCCAAAGACTTCGGAACATCGGAAGTGAAAAACTGTGCTCTTTGAGCTTGAATCTTCTGAGATATGGACGAATACGTTTGTGGTGCCCCACTGGTAGCCGGTGAAGATTTCTTCTTCTCCATGGAATTATTCGGGCTCTCGTCTTCTCTACAATCTTCCAGTATTGTAGAAGAGAGAACATCAGTTCTAGGATTAGCGAATCTCCACTGCGACCGTGGGGACATCAACTTCGGTGCTGGTTTCGGCTTTTCGGGGGTACTTCGTGGGGAACCTTGCCCACTATTCGCGAATTTCCGATTAACAAGACTCCTCGGGGACCCACTCAATTCGAGAATACTCATAGGAGGGGGTTGTGTCGATTTTTGGATTTGTTGTCTCGACAGTTTCAGTTGTTCAACAGCTGAAACTTTTTTGGTGTTACTCGTGAGCACATTACTCTTCTGTAAGAGCAATTTCTTGAAATCAAGTCGTGATGTTTGACTTGTGCCTTTCCGGTCGCTGCAAGCCCAACTCTGCCTTGATCGCGACTCATTCGGGGGCGATAATTTGTCAATATCCGAGTTAAAATCAACGTATTCGCCTTTGGAGGGCGACCAACTGAGTCTAGCCCGCGATTTGTCTCCGATATATCCCGTTTCGGGTGATTTGACCGGAGTTGCAGCTTCTTTGTTCACAGGAGACGCCCGATTTTCCTCCGTGTTTATGTTCATCTTCTTCTTGTGTTTGTGGATCACAGCGTAGAGTTCCTCGTTACTCATTGTTGATTTTTTGGGCGAAAGAAGCTTGTTTTCTAGATTGGCTGCAGCTTTCAAGTCTTGAGACTTGAATGGTGTTGAAGATTGGAAACTTGCAGAATTTCGAGGATCGATTGGCGAAACCTTGATGGAATCGGTTGTATCTTCGGGGGTTTTGTGGGGTGATATGTGTGCGAAATACGAATTAGGCTTCTCTTGATAATTGTCAATAGGTCGAGATAAAGGCACTTTCTGTGGTAATTTGAAGTTGCTAACATCGGGAATTTTGACTGGAATTCCCAGTTTTTGGTGTAGCAAATTTTGGTCGTGGCGAGAATATAAATTGTGGGTGTTTTTCGGGTTGCGTTCTAACCCTCTAGTAATGTCTGGAGTGACAGATCTTTCGGGGTTCATCTCCGATTGGAAAAATTGCGTTCTCTTCGATGGAAGGGTTTGGTAGGTGGGATTACCTTTCTGGAAATAATATTGACTCCTTTTGTCCACATTTTCGTCCAAAATTGTTCCTTTGTAGCACATCTCCGTGAATTGTTGCGCTGGATAACTAGATGGTGAAGGTACTCGGTCTGAAAGAAACGTTCCAATTACCTTCAAACAAATATTTAAGTGAAATGAGCTACCTCATCAACTGATAAAAGTTATGAAACTTGAGAAACAAGATAACAAACATGCAACGTGCAAAATCCTGCAAGACTTCCACCACAGCGGCCAGAATTGCAGGATTATCGATATAAAAATAAAAAAATCTCACCTCTGTGTATCTTCACATGCGACAATACTGATAGCAATCAATGCCGTGCTATTGTCAATGATTCTCATGCGATCGTGCAGACGGCGCAGTGTGTTTAAATGTGCAACAAGAGTGAATAATGGTACGAAATAACAATAGTGTAAAGGGAAATGGGTTCGACATCAGGTGGAAGATATCCATGAACGACGACGGTGAACGAAGTGCGAAAGACTTGATAAGCAGTGGTCTCTTCAATGACTCAGACATTAGTAGACTAAGTAGATAAATTGCTTTTAATTGGGACATTTTATCAAGTTAACACCCGTGTTAGGAATTTAACAAAAACGAACTCTTAGTAAATTAGCACAAAGGGTTAAAAGTCGATTTTATTTATTAATTATTGTACGTAATTTCATATCAACATACATACATTTAATGCAGTTGTACACATAAAAATAAAACGTAATTATATTGCATGCACTCTATATCTATGTATTTACAAACAAATAATGCACAAGAAACAGTGGCGGACTAAAAGCTGGTTTCAAAAAAGAAAGAGAAAAAAATTGTATGGTTGAGGCAGATTTTTTTTTTTTTAATATTAGTAAACTTGACTTATGGTATTTATATCCAAGCCCTCGCACTCAGAAGTTGAGGAAATTAGCACATAGACACATGGGCGCCGACTTTTCATCATTTTAATAGGTGCACAAACAAAAAATTTTATAAATTAATTGTCTTAAAGCAATACACATGATAGAAGTTTATTTTCAGATCTTCTATAAGTACATTTACGAGTATGTTGGTATCACTTGCAAAACTTGAGAACAACAATTACGCGAAAAAAACTACCTATTTCTGTTTCGATATTTTTGCTGAATTTAATGAATTTGTTATTTAGAACATTTAAAAACAATATAATTTTCCGTCTAGTACAAAAGAAAAAAAAACAATAACAGTAAAAAATACAAAAGTGATTAAGTGTAAAAACAAAAGTACGTTTTCAAAGTTGCAAAATGGTTCAAGTTGTTGAGTTTTGAAAAATGATACACTATTGTTAAATTTAAAAAAAATCGAAAATAATTTAGAGAATTTTTTGTTGAAAATGTTGGAAAAAATGTTTTTTTTATTTTAATAAAGATTAGGTACACAATAATTTCTTTTGTAAAAGTTTGGTCAATCCGAGAAAACGGTTTGATAGATTGATTTAAAAATTTAAAAGACTATTTTTACACTAAACTGTAAAAAAACTGTAAAAAAAACAATATTTGTGAATACGCCATAGATTTACGCCAAAAAAATCATAGCAAATTTCCCTCTTCTAGATTCGACATTGAAACCTAAGACAACAAAAAAAGTTACTTTTTTCTCTAAATCATTGTTGAGGGTGATTTTTTTTCCAAAAAATTAGAAGAATCTTGAAGGAAATTTATTCCATTTTTTGAAACTATTTTCACTATTAGGTCATTGGTTGCTGAGAAATCGATGATCAAAGACAAAGAAATCTTTTTTCATTAAAAGTCAGAAATCTCAGCGACAAATTGAAGTAAAGAAAATATAAAAAGAGCGAATTGAAGATGATAAACAGACTATCCGGTCCATAACTTTTAACTAAAAAAAAAACACAAATCCGTAGACTAAAAAAAAATTTCTCGCGCTATTTCTTAGGATTGCGTAAAATCGTAGCTCAGAAAAGTTTTTTGCTAAAAGATCTTAAGAATAGAAACTTGAAGCTTCAAAATCTCGTTTTCTAAATCTAGATACGACCAGTTTTCATTGAGATACAGCCTTTCAAAAATCACCAAAATTTTTTTATGTTTCCCTGATTTTTTGGAGTAGTGTATAAAAAGTTTATTCTTCCACACTGTCAAAACTTACGGTTTTTCTCCCGTGTAAAGAAGTTTTGTCAATTGTTTGGAATTTCTGAATACGAAACGTCAGATTATTTTTAACAGATTTGAAGCAAGTTTAAGCCTTGTTGAGTCTAATTCGAAGAATAAATGTTGTATTCAACTCGTTTGCGTGTAAATCGGATGCTTTTTTCCACCTTGGTGAAATAATACATTCAAACTCGTAGAATAAATAACTATTATGTACTCACAGAATATTTTGTTATTTTAAATCTTTTTTTACTGAAAAGTCAGATTTTAGATTAATTTAAAAAATATAAACGATGAATTTCATCCATTTCCTCGAAGGGGAAAAACAGAATAATAGAAAATTTAAGACATCTTTGACATTTTAAAGAATACAATTCCAATTATTATTAAAAGTTATTTTTTTTTACATAAACAAGAATACATTATTTTCATGGATGCCTCGCACCTATTAAAAATTTTAATGGGTGCATCGGTCCTGATGTACCCAGATAATCGGCGCCTTGAATTGACCCTTAATTCACGGATTTTTAAGCCCTTTAGTCCACCACTGACGAGAAACAGTCTCAAAAATAATCTAATTTATGTACAACACCAAAAACACAGATCGTGCAAAAACAAATATGCAATTTCGAGTAGTCATTTCTTGAAATGACTGTTCGAAACGCCCCTCAGTCTTATACAATTATATCACAAACTCACTCAGGAAGAAGTCTAAAACTATATGGAAGACATGACAGTGTGTGTGTGCACAAAATGTTTACATACACTTTTCCCACGTGAATAAATCAGCCATATTCCTGGTCATAGCTCTACCACCAAGGCGTTAATCATGAATATGGCCAATCACCAAAGCAGGGAGACATGGACAGAAGGAACCCACTACCAGCTAACATGGTCGGTTCAAGACGCCCGTCTCATCGATTTTCACCAAATCTCCGTGTCGGAGACTGAGAGAACGCGAGCGCGATGCTCCCCGCTATCGGGCGGGATAATGACCCGATTCGGGGACGCCGACAGGATCTCCTGCGCCTGAACCCGAGTGTAGATGTGGCGTCCGCACTTGGGCGAAACCGTCGGCGGGTAATTTATCCGCTCCCGCCACAATTCCGCCGCGATCTCCTTCTCAATCCGATCCTCGATATCGATCTTATCACTCAGCATTTTCGCCGGCGATAAAATCGTATTCGCTAACCGGTAACTATCGCTGCGTTTGATGATTTTCCGCGAGCAATTTATCACATTCATGCGATTTATTGGGTCGGGGTGTGGAGTCTTACCTTTGTCGTGAGTGTCTTGCATGTGGACGTAAGCGCCGCGGGCCGCTTTCGGAGACGTGGGGCGCAAACTGGGGGCCACGATGGTCGATGGGGGAATCCGGACGAATTCAGTAGTCGGCGAGGTCATTCCCGACACGGCGCGGATCACCAACTTGCCCAATTGGGGCGAGTGAGAGTCTTTGGGGATCCGGTGCACCGGAAGTGGGCTTTGAGAGGGACTAGTGGTTTTTACGAATGGCCCGGGCTCGAATGTTGTATGGGCCCCTTTCCGCCGCCTCAAACTGTCCGAACTGTACACCACTTTACCCTCCGCGTCTAGAGTTACACGTGCACCTTGACGTCGCTTTCTCTCAAGAGAGTCGGTTGTGGGGTCCGGGGAAGCGGCGGTTTGATCCTCATTACGAGGGAGGTCGTCAAGAGACACATATTCAGTGTCTTTTTTCTTCTCCCCAAATTTCAATCTTTTCCGGACTATATCGTTAGCGTAAACTGTTTCAGGAGACGGCAAAATCTTCTCATTGTTATTTTTAACATCAGCAAGTGTTACATATTCGCCTGAATCACCCAATTCGTCACTAATTGCTTGATTATGTCGATTTGGCGACTTGCTATCTCGTCGTGTCAAGTTAACCAAGTTGGTTTTAATTCTCCCAAACATGTTATTAAGTGGAAGAAGAGTCGCTTTGATTATTGGTTGTGTCGGAGGTGATTTCCCTGGTGTTTCATTGACAATAACAGTACCCCCACTAGGTGAGGGTGCTCTTAAAACTTTTGTACTTTTATTGACATCTATATTTTCATTGGCATCAACCATTTCAACGGTGGCATAACCCGATTGAGGATTAACATTAATAACTTGCATCTTATTTCCATTAATAACACGACTATGGATTGTAAAATTCTCTTTATCTGAGTCGCTCGATTTCAACAAATTCACATCATCGCAGCTTTTCAAATTTAAATCTAACTTGTTCCGTTTGTTGAAATTATTCAAATTGTAACTTTTGATACTTTCATCGTCGCTATGCGGCGGTGTAATCACACACATTGAAGGTATTCTACTCGAGTTAATAGTAGTTTTGATGCGGATTCTTTCGATTCTTTCGGGACCTTCCATGTCGGAAGATTCGGAAAACTCGAATTCTGATCCACTCCTGACCCCATTGGGGCTACTGATTGACTCAATTGGTGAACTAGAGGTGTTATGTCCACTGTCGGGTGACACGTCTCCGTGGACAACACTTGCCTTGTTTGCCGGACTTCGTTTCACGGTTCCGGTTTTGTCGCTACTTTCGTCACCTTCAGACGTGTTATTTTTCGATAAGGAACTCTTCCTTTCGGGAACCGCGGGACTCTCAGAGGCACGCAAAGTCGTGCAGACTGTGCCCGCCGAGCTGGTGGTGGTAGAAGTGGAGCCTTTACCGAAGAGCTCATATTCGTTTTCCGCCGTCATTGTGGTGTTTGTGGAATGTAGAGGAGTGCATGGCAGGTCTTCCTCTTTGAGGGTTTTGAGTCCGCTGTCCATGTGGAAGGACGTGTAGTAGCCTTCCGTGTCGCACGAGTACACCGAGCTGGTTTCGCCGTCTTCGTGCAGATCGTGGATAATGTCAGGTGTGAGAGTGCCTTCGCTGGTAATACTGCTCGAAGTTGAGGTGTTTATAACAAACCGTCGTCTGCTATTGGCCGAATTGGGTGCTTGTTGGTTCAGAGAGTTGTTTGATGTTGCGGCGGATGTGGTAGATTTGGGTTGAGTGGTGCTTGTGAACTCGGAACCAATGGAAGCTCTTCCGCTTTCCGAGCTTGCGCTCCAGTTTCCGCTTGAGGAATGCGGAGGTTCGTCTTTGGTGCCGCCGGATCTTCGCTTCGAACTCTCGCGTAGTTTCACGGCGATGTTCATGACTGAGGATAGAGGACTCGAGATGGGGAGATTGACGCTGGATTTTTCCGATGAGGATATCGAAGGGTTGCGTTCGTGTGAGCGGCGGTCTTTGTCGATGTTGCGTTTGCGTTTCATTGTTACTGTTTCGTAAATGTTGAAGTCGTCGATGTCGTCTTTCTTTTCCGATTTTGATTCGGAACTCTTGTTCATGAAGCGGTCGTAGCGGTTCTTGCCCCATTGCTTGAGAGTGTTAAAGTGTGATTTTTTGTCGYGGGAGTCTTTTTTGTTTGACGAACGTAAAAGGTCGCTGCTTTTACTGCGACTTACAGCACCGATAGTCGTGGATTCAGTCTCATGATTATTAGCTGAAGAGCATGGCTCCTCCCTGTTAAGCAAGACCCTAATGAGTGTGTTATGCAAAATTATATCGTACACATGCAACACAAACACTCAGTGTTAGTAATAATTAGACCATAGTGCAAAAATGCATACCCAGCAGTCAATGCGTCTCTAATCTCCTTTTGGTCGGTTCCTGCAAGCGTATTCCTTCTCCTACTCCTCGGTCTCCTAGTTCTCGTCCTTCTTTTTAAACTGGGATCTTCCACTTTCCCGTTAGCGTCAGAATGTAGCAGCGACCTTCTCTGTATCGACATGCGATCGAAGCTCCTCCCTGAAACATCCACTGCGACGATTTCAGCAGGAAACCTGAAACGGAGTTTCAGTCAGTGGTTGTGCGGTGGCGCTCGCTGAAAATGGGTCAAGAACAACAAAGAATTTCAAACGTACTTGAGTGCGACTACTTGAAGTTGTTCCTCGGGCGACGGCAGCTTATGGTCAATGCCTTCGTCGTCTGAAACTGCAGTTCCATCCGTTGCTTCACCGTCCGTTAGAGTGAAATTGGGTGCAATTCGATTAGGACAATCAGGAGTTACTGTTATGTCACCGAGAGCTTCGCTTGAGGTCCATCTGCGTAACTCTTGGACGGCAGCAGGCTTTAAAAAAACGAGAATTTTTACCACAAGAAAAATGAAAGTTAAAATCACGAAAATGTGGTAATTTCGTTTAAAGTCTGGATTCGAGAGGTGAACCAAGCGAGTCGTGCTTGGAAATTTAAAGAGGCACTTGAAAGAATCATTTGGATGACTGGAATTACTGAGACGGAAGGGTTTGGTGAATGGTGAAGAATGTCATCACACCTTTCGTGTTTTTCAGATTTTTACCTACGTCTTATGTACTACCTACGCCGTATTCAAGTCAAGTTAAACAACTGTCTTCTAAAAAAGACTAACATAAACATCAACAAAGATGTTTCAATAATAAAGAATACTGTCATAGCATATTTACAAAACTCTGAGGGAATCATAAGGAAAATAAATGGCTTGTCATTAAACACGGTGGCTTCTTATGACAGCCGCTTTTGTGCTATGAAAAATTCTTGTTTCGAACAAACAAAAACACTCAAGAGCACCGATGATCGATTTAATTTCACACTAAATTTTTAATTACTTTGTAGTGTTTGCTACGAAATTATATTATAATTAAATAAAAAGTAAATTGGACCAAGTTTACCCCAGAAGCAAGACAAAATCTCGGTTTCTTTTTATATAATTGAATACAGTTCCGCCAAATGTCTTGCTACGGGGAAAAACAACAGAATCATGCGGCTTTGTGGCTTGTTTACAAAGAAAAACGAATATTTTTGGTGCTTTTAAAGAAACCATTATTTCTCATTTTTAAAACTTGGCCAGACTGCAATATTATATTTACGTAGGTATCAAGAAGGTAAAAAAAACTCTACAAAATTTACGACTTTCGCATTTATGTGACAGCATTTAATAAAGTTGAATTTGCAATTATGCCTCTGGTTGAAGTGCCCATAAACTGTTAAATTCAGGTCTCGTGAGACCATTATCTGTAATTATTTTTGTGTCCCCTTTTTCTAAATATGAGAAATGAAAAAAAATTAAAGTCAGGAATATTCAATGCGAAGTTTGTCTCCAGGAATTGAATAAAATTCAATTCAGTTTTACTCTAAAGAACACGTACAATCAGCGTAGAAAAGATTGTCCTCCTAATAAACCGCGCGGACCCATAATCCACAACAATAAATCTTTTCCATGGTAAATACTTAACAGTATGTATATTCAGTTTGAAGTGAAGCTCAGTTACCGATTTTACTTTCAATTGAGTAAATAAAAAAATATTTTAACTTTATACCGCAACTTGGGCAACAAACACATCGATTTTCTAAATAWTTAAAAATTTAATTTTACTATAGTAAACAGAAAATAAAATATTTACAAAAAAATATAAATTATTTATGTACGAGATGTAGTAGGTATTTTTTTCTTACTGCAACAGTGTTTGTTTTATCGTATTCAAAATTAATTTGCAAATATCTTATTAAAGTTAGAAGTAATTTTTTGGTAATAATTTGTTTATTAATAGGGTAGACAGTTTTCCAATGGCTATGAATTTTTTTTTAATACACAAAAATAAAAGTTGATTAATTTAGTTTTAATAAAATAACTGAACTGAACAATTATTAGCAAAAACAAATTCGTAAATTTGTTACAATTGCTTTGCGATTGCTATATCTTGGTTGCAAACATCTCAATAGTTCAATTTAAATATTCTTTTTTTGTAAAGGTTGCCTCGAGTTCAAAAGAGTATACCTGTATGAATTGAATAAAAATTAATTATGAAATTATTTAAGTTTTCATTTACAACTTTAAAAAAATAAGTGTCAATATTTTGTTTTTTACTCAATTGAACGTAAAATCGGTAACTGAGCTTCATTTCAAACTAAATATATAGGGTTATTCATAAATATGAAGAAATATTTGAACCCCAAAAATGAGCTATAAAATAATGTTAATTTAAATAATAGCTCGTGTCCGATATCTATTGATAAGAATTTTACAGCCCTCGGATTGTGGGTATGGAAATTTATTTTTTTTTTGTAATAACTTTGGAACCATTTGACCAAATATTATAAAATTTGGAATAGTTACTTGCGAGAACATAACATAGGCTAGTAATTACGAAAACCGGATACATCTACTCAATTTCCTTTTATAATAACCTTTTATACCACTAAAATGGACCGTTTTAAAAAAAAATGAAAAATATGAATTTTGAATAAGTGGTATCCACGGCAACCAATGACTGTGGTCACATAAATCCCTGCCAGYCATGTGTTAACTTTGACGATAAATTTTTGTGATTTTTTTATGAATTAAATGCTACAAGATCCATTTGGATTTACAATATTTTTTCTACCACAACCAATTACCACAACATAGAGTATAAATAAGATATTAATTTTAAGTACAAAATGACAAACGTCACTTCCGCAGAAAATGGTTAAGATTAAAAACCTTCGCAACAAATGAATATGTTTGTCTAAAAATTATGACAGTTTTTAATTCATTATGGCTTGAGAAAACGGAAAATAAGAAAAGGAAAATAATTTTTACAGTAATTTCTACTACCACAACAGAGTATAAATTCTCTGAAAATATAAAAAAATCTGAAACAGGGTGGATAAAAAAATTTAAATTAAGTTTTAATAGAAAAATCCTGACTGAAATATTATTTCTTATTTTAATTAACGTAAAAAGTCATTTTGACATCATTCAAG